GAGCGCGTTGCGGACTTTCGTTTGCAGCCCGTACGTGTGGAGAATATTTCAATGCATCGAGTGGCGTAGTCACACTAACGAATGAGAGGCTGAGGCGTGCAAGGCAAATATGTTTTCGAGAGCGGTGGACGTGCTGTTTCTAGAGCGAAAGAAAAGCCTTGTCAAGGAGCGGAGCTGGAGTGCATGGTCAGAGCGTGGTCAGCGTGCAGCTTGGCGGGGAACCTTTTTTGGCAGGATCTCTGTGCGTCGGAGGGCATTGGGGGCTGCCTCGATGTACCACTTTGTTCAGGTGAAAAGGCGTTTTCTTCGCTATATTGTGGCCTTGTCAGGATCGATGACACAGTGCATTGCGTAACGCTGTGTCGCTTGTATTTTGGACATTGCCGTTGTTTCGAGTGAGTTTTGTTGCTGCTGTTTTGCAGGCGTGGGCTTGCGCGAAGGCACCCACCGGTGTCGGAGCTAGCCTCGCTGGCTATTGCGATTTGCAGCTAGTACGTCAAGGCGGACGAGCTGGAATGGCTGGTCTTGCGCTGCAGCATGTTCGCGTGACAGTCGCAGCATACGCCCCTACTTTGATTTTGACATTAATAGCGTGCTGTGCCGCAAACGTGTAAAAGTTCGAGGCGCTATCACTAGGCGTTACAAGCTATGAAGCGCACTGTATATAAAGTTGCTTGGCTTTGTGTGTAGTGGTGGCGATTGCGTCGGCGCGCAGCCATGGATTTGGAGCTCTTGGCGTTTTCCCGACTGCAATATCTTAGCTGCGTTCTGTCAGGCGATAGGGTGCCTTATTTCAGACTCGAACGTTCCAAGTTGGTGTTTGTGGCACATGCATCTCGTGGGTGGTGAGGGTTTGGGTGGATCTATCGGCTTGCAAGTACCCACGACTGTTGGAGACGCGCGCAGAGTCTGCTATGCTGCGCCTCAATTTTCTGGCCAGTTGCAGGCATTCGGCTGAATGCTCTGAAGCGCACTGCGCGAAAAGGAGGGTGAGCACGTTTCATGGTTGCATTGTCTGGCGGGTTCGTGGAGGTCGTGCGATGGAGACGTTTAGCTGAACGGCGCTTGGACTGGTCGTTGCGCGGCAAAGGTTAGTTACTCGAGCGGGTCGCGAGGACAGCCAGCTTTTAGTTCGACAGCAGAGCAAAGAGCAGACGGCTACGTGACGGAATTGCCGATGCAGGGAGTGAGCGTCGAGGAGTAGAAGTGTTGCGAGTGTTGCGAGTGTGCGTTTGTCAGTTGCGTGCCCCCGAGTGGGACTTTTGGGGCCCCTGTAAAGGGAGAAGCAGTTCAAAAGAGCGGAAGTCGCAAATAAATGATTATATTTTATTTGTTTTACTTTTTTGGACTCTAAAAACTCCCAAATGAGCGGAAAATGACTTAATCGAGCAGCAACTCATGCAGCCAAGCCAGCCGGCTCTCAAGCCCCAAAGCTCGAGAGGCAAAAACGAGCAAAGAGACGCTAAAAGGGAATAAATAAACACAAAAATGGACAAATAAATCAAAAATAAACAAATAATGAATTATTTAATTAAAATTGAATTAATTGGCCCGTTATTTGCTTCAAAACGCCGAAATTAACGGCAGCTCAGGGTTACTCCAGCTGCTGCTGGGAGCAGTTACTAACAAGCATAAACGCCAATTTTGTCCTTTGTTTATCCTTTTAAACCCATTGATTATAATTATTTAATCAAATACTTTATTATTTATTTATTTATTCAATTATTCATTCATTTATTTACTTATTTATTAATTCACAATAAAATAAATAGCTTTGCGTCGAAATCGAAGCTGTGCAGTGAAAACAGGTCGAAAACATCTGCTTTTTGGAATTTGAGGCCTCAGCGAGTTGGGGAGTCGAGGGGGCCCCCTGCGGCCTCAAAAGGGGCCCCCTCGGGGCGCAGGGGGGCCCCTGGGGGCCCCCAAGGGGCCCCCAGGTGGGTACTATCCGTAGAGACTGCGGACTGCCGCGGGGGCGACGCGGAAGCAGAAGACATTTCCCCTGCGTCGCTCGAGGCGCGCGCGGCGCGCGCTCGCCCGCGCGCCCTTCACGATGACTTCGCGAATGTCGTCCATGACTTCGCGATTTGCTTGATAAATAGAATGTCTGAAGCGCATTGAGCAGCAGATTCGAAAGCGCAGCAGCAAACTCTTCCGGAAGCAGCAAAACGCAGAAAAAAAGACTCCAAAATGACCCCAAAATGGCCAAAAACAAATCCACAAAGTCTCAAGTTTGCTTTGTTCCAGCTTAATTTGATAATTCTTGATTCAAGATATTTATTTTTTTATTTATTTATCTTTTTAATTAATTAATTTATTTATTTATTTATTTATTATTTGATTTATTTAATTGATTAAATTATATTAATCAATTGATTTAATCAATTTATTTATTTATTCATTCTATGTATATTTATTTAGTTGTTTACTTTAAGAAGTCCATATGTCCCTCTACAAAGGTGGTGTCTATTACATCCAAGTCGAGCCAATTTGACTCCGTTGCTGCTGCTGCTGCTGCTGCTGGTGCTGCTTCTGCTGCTGCTGCTGCTGCTGCGTCAACTGGAACTGCTGCTGCTGCTGCTTCTACCGGTGCTTCTTCTGCTGCTGTTGCTGCTGCTACTGGCACTTTGGGCGCAGCAGCGCCTGCGTCCTGCTGCTGCTGCAGCAACTGCTGCTGCTGCTGCAGCAGCAACTGCTGCTGCGAGTTTGAGTTTCTTGTTTTGCTTTTTTCATTTTTATTTTCATTTTCTTTTGATCCTGAGTGAAGACAAAAAAGTCTTTTTCCCATGCAGGGCTCTCTGTTGTACAATTCTGAAAAGGCGAGGGCCTGTAGAAATAAAACAAATTGAGTTAATTTATTTAAATTAATTAATTTAAATTAAATTAATTAATCTAAATCAGATTAATTAATTTAAATGAATTAGCTAATTTAAACTAAATTAATTAATTTAAATCAAGTTGCTTCGTCTGAATTAAACTGATGCATTTAAACTAAATTGGTCTATTTAAATGCAACTGATTGGGCCCTTTTGCGTTTTATTTCTTTTTTTCCTTTTTGGCATTTATAAATCAATTCTTTTCTTTTATTCTTTCTCCCACTTTTTTTCAAATTACCTGGTCCCTAGTGTCTCCATAAATGGAAATAAAAGAACAAAATCGACGAGAAATCGAATAACTTTTCCCCACAAACTTCTTCAAAGGATAATCTGGACTCAGCATCACAATTGACAAAACTCGCATCTTCTTGGGGCCCCCGGGGGCCCCCCCGGGGGCCCCCCTGGGGGCCCCCTGTGGGGCCCCCGGGGGCCCCCCCGGGGGCCCCTGTGGGGCCCCTGTGGGGCCCCGCGGGGGCCCCTCGTAGGCTCCCAAGGCGTCGGAAGGGTCCAGAATTTCTTCTAGAATGTCTCTGCGAAAATAGAAATTTAAAAAAGAAATTTGGCGCCATTAAATGAATTAGAATTGAATAATTAATCAAAAATTGATTATTTTGTGACGAAAGAGCTCATTTAAGGACCTTAATGGTCTTTTTATTCTTTAAATTAAAAAGAAATCATCAAATTGATTAATTTGGCATTCAAGTGCCTTTTGTTTCGCGGCTTGAGGTGTCTGCACACTGCAAACAGCTAGTTCAGGAAAAAGGATTTAATTAATTCACTTTTTCATTAAAACACTTTTATGAAAAAGTGAATTAAAAAGAATAGATTTGAATAAATAAATACTTCAAAATGCGGAAATATAAAAAAGAATTTAAATAAAAAAGAAAAAGAAAAAAAAGGAAAAGAAGAAGCAGCTCACGCCAGGGTCTATATACAGCTTGAGGCTTTGCCACGAAAAGCTTTTCGAGAAAAAAGTTTATTTTTATATTTTCGTTTTCTTTTTAGACTTTTTTCGAGATTATTTCAATATTTTTAACTCCCTTTTTTGTTGAATTCAGGAGAAAAAAGATTAAATAATCCTTTTAAGTTTTTCAAACACTTTCCACGAAACAGAAGACCATTCCGTGTCTTTTTCTCTCATTTTGAAGGTTTCTCAAGAACTAAAAGGTCATTTTAATGTTTTAAATGTGTATTAAAGGTTATTTCAATCATTTCAATGTATTTAAAACACTTTTAAAGATTATTTTAATGCTTTTACCCTCTTTCCAAACACTTTTCAAGTCCTTCTTGCAAAACTCTGGCGCCAGCAGAGTGGGAAATGAAGTGAACTGCAGATACACCTGAGCTGCCAAGACACCTCAGAAAGCGGCTAAACGCCGCTGCTGAAAAAAAAACAAAAAATGAATTTTGAATTTTCTTTTGAGACTTTTCGGGTGCTTTTCGAGGACTTTTGGAGGAATTTGAAGGGTTTTAGACCCTCTTTTAGGGTTTTAACTCGCCTTCAGGGTTTCGTATTCGCCAATTTGGAGTTTAGGGTTTTCGCTATTTTCGCTAAGCCTTTAAAGGCTTTACGGGCAATTGCTAATTCGCCTAAACCCTAGAAAAGGGTTTGAGGGCCAGCAAACCCTAGCCCCCCAAACCCTGATCCAGCTAAACCCTGGACTTTACTTAACAAACCCTAAACCCTCGCGCAGTAGATTTTTCTAGTGGGCTTCGGAGCTCTATATCTAAACCCTAAAAAAGGGTTTGGAAGCCCCACCTAAACCCTAAAGGCTAAGCCCTAGACCCTAGAAAAGGGCCTCGACGTCAAAGGCTGAAGGTCAAACCCTAGACCCTAAAGAAGGTGTAGGACTTGAGAGTTTAAGCCCGGTAGCAAGGGTTTGGGGGGTCTGATGAAACCCTAAACCCTGAAAAAGGGTTTGGAAGCGGACCTGTTTCGGGGTTTTCGGCGCTTTTTTTCGAAAGTCCGTAAAAGAGCATTGAAAAAGGACCTCCAAAAACTCCTTTCCAAGAAAAGACAAAAGGAATTAAATAAGAAGGCATTTGTGCAAAAGAAAACAAATGCGACATTTGCGAACAAGCCTGCATGCAGCAGCAGCAGCAGCAGCAGCAGCAGCAGCGGCAGCATCAGCAGCAGCAAAGGTATTATTTAGCTTTGGTTTTTTCCGGGGGCTTCTCCTCTTTTGCTTCCCGCGAAAGAGGCCCAACCCCTGGGCGCGTAAACGCTGTTTTGGGGCTTAGGTTTTGGGGTTTGTCCAAACCCTAAAAAAGGGTTTAGGGTTTACCTGCTCGAGCGTGACGTTGAAGCCGTGTATGTACACCACAGCAGTCCGGGCCTTTCCCAAACTCGACAAACGAGACCATCCGACAGGAAATAAAACTCCCCTTTCTCCCCGCAGCAAATTCTCAGCTCGCAGCCACTGCAGCAGCAGCAGCAGCAGCAGTGGGGGTAGGAGGAGGAGGAGCAGCAGCAGCAGCAGTAGGGGTAGCAGGAGCAGAGGCAGCAGCAGCAGCAGTAGGGGTGGCAGTAGCAGCAGCAGCAGCAGCAGTAGGGGTAGCAGGAGCAGCAGCAGCAGCAGCAGCAGCAGCAGCATGAGGAGCAGCAGTTGCAGTAACAGCAGCAGCAGCAGTAGTAGTAGTAAGGGTAACAGTAGCAGCAGCAGCAGCAGCAGAAGCAGTAGGCGTAACAGGAGGAGGAGCAGGCGCAGCAGCAGTAGGGGTAGCAGTAGCAGTAGCAGTAGCAGCAGCAGCAGTAGCAGTAGGGGCAGCAGCGGCAGCAGCAGCAGCAGCAGCAGTAGCAGTAGCAGCAGCAGCATTACAAGAAACGCAAAAGCCACCAGGTTGCAATAGCAAAAAGACAATAAACGAGATTAAAAATAAAAGACAAATAAATTGAAGGCAACTAGACAAAATAAAACAAAAAAGAAAAGCAAAAAGAAATAAATGAATAAATAGGTAAGTAAATAAATAAATAAATAAATAAATAAATAAATAAA